AATGATCCGTGGATTTGTAACATTAAGAATGAATTAACTGCCCTAGGTCTTGGTTATATTTTTGAATCGAATCTACCATTGGTAAACACTTTTGAAATTATTGAACACAGATTGAAAGATGTTACTAAGCAAAATATGTTGGCAAAGATAGCAGCTTCATCAAAAGGTAGACTATATCAATATCTTATAGACAGTCATAGTATTCAGTTTTATCTCCGTAAACATATTGAAACAAAATACAAATATATGTTAACTAAATTTAGAACGTCGTCTCATCAACTGAATATCGAAAAGGGTAGACACAATAATATCATTCGCAGAAATAGAAACTGTAGCAAATGTGATTTGGGAGACGTCGAGGACGAATTTCATTTCATTTTTGTATGTCCTTTTTATAATGATTTGAGGTTAAAGTATATAAAGAAGTATTATTATAAGAGTCCCTCTGTTTACAAACTTGTCCAACTTTTATCTGTAAATAATGTCAAAGAGTTGTCAAATCTAGGTAAATATTTATATCTAGCCACTAAGCGGCGAAATTGATTAATTAGCTACACGTATTTATAATTTTTGTGCTTTTGTATTATGTTCTTTGTTTAGTTTGCACTTGTATGCTTATAGTCACTCTCCTATAACATATATACATGTACAATGTGTCATGATTAGTTTGTACCTATAAGTATTAAGACTTTTGGTGAATAAAGAACTTGAACTAGATGTGCGCAAGCAATGATCGTCCAGCTTTTTATCGTTCGCCCATCGTGCACACACCGTTCACACACCGTGCACACATCGTGCGCACACCGCACATCGTGTAACGTTGTGCGATCCCACAACTGTACATAGTTCAGTTAATTAATTAATTAATTTTAGAATTAGATTTTCTGATATAATGCGCCGTAACATGATTTCAAAACACAGTTACTAGTATTTAAATTTGTTAACCAATATCTAATTATGGCCATTTTACGTTGCACATATAATGAATAATAGTATTGACAGTTTTCTTAACATTGCATAGGTCTTTGAGAAAAAGGGGATGGATTTTTTAAATCTGTGGCGATACATTATGTCCCCAAACTTCACACCCATAATTCAATATACATGCAACATATGTATCGAATAAAGACATTTTAGTTTCCGTATTAAGGGCTAAATATTTCATTTTTCTTTTTAAGTGGTAATATGCTTTCCTTCCTTAACCTGCTAATGTATCTTGTGCTACAGTTCTTTATTAGCCAAAAGACCTTAGGCTTATAGGTACATACATATATGCATATACCATTCTCTAAACATAATAAGAATAGACAGGAGAGTGACATCACAGTATACATAAAACACTGTTCAATAATGTGCATATAACAATACTTAATTTCCGATTACAGTTATGAAACACCACAATACATAAACCTTAAATTAACGCCCCTTAGATGCTAAATATAAATAGTTTCCTAAATTGGATAGCTCTCTAACAGTAAATCTTCCATTATAGTTAAAAACTAATCCAAGATAACACATCTTATCAACAATTTTAATAGATTTACCATTGAAAGTCCACATTTCAGGAGGTAACAATCTTTTACTTTTTCTAAAAACTTTTTTTTTCTTTTTTTCTTTTTTTCTTTTCTTTATTATCATTTAAATTCCATTTTCAGTTTTTGTTTGTAAACGATCTAGCATATGCTGAAGATCGGTAGCATCCTCCGGGAATAAAACTGTGTCATCCGCATACATCAGCATAAACAGGTTTATCAACTGTAATTCATAACTTTGACAATTATAATTTATAAATTCACTTTCCATATCTTTAACAAATAATGAAAAAAGCATGGAAGATAACAATTCCCCTTGTAATAAACCGACATGTAAATCAAACATGGCGGATAATTTACCATTTAAGTTCACACATGAACGTTCATTATCATAAATTGATTTAATCATATTTTAAAAAAGTAGTCTACTCCTAATACCACTTCTCCAAAGTTTATACCACAAATTCTGGTGTGTCACACTATCAAATGCCTTACTATAATCAATAAAAACGCAATAAAGCCTCTTACCAGAGGATTAGTGTTCCGAGACGGGCTAATCATTAAAGTATGAAAAATCCTGGCAAAATCTTTTAACGACGGAATATTGTAAGCACTAAAAGCATTATGATGGCCATACGGCAGATAAAAATTGAGAATGAGTATTTACTCCTCTAAGGTTGAAATCACGTTCAAATCTTATGACATTTAGTTAACTATAATAAATGGTAAAAGTAAAACAAGAGGCCCATGGGCCTTAACGGTCACCTGAGTTATGTAAAAACTGATGTTATCGATGTTGCCAAATGAAAAAGAAATCATTTTGTAACAAAGGTAACTTGAACTATACATGTAATGCGAAAGTAGTGTGAAAGATCTGGGTAGTACATGTACTATGTACAAATAGTGGTTCTGTCAGTCAGCTGAATTATGGTAAAGCACCTTAAGACCCTTCCATCTATGAAGAGTATTTGATTCTACCA